TTAAGCACTTTTACTCAGGTGCACTGTAGCCATCCTCCTTACCTTATGGTATAGTCGGTTATTTTCCCACTCTAACAGCTTCTGAATAGACCGCCTCGTCTTCGGGAACAGACCACAGAGGGGAAAAAAGGGCATGCCCGTTAATTCAAACAAAAATACACATTACTCAGTTTAACACGTGAACAGGTAACAGTTATCAGCCACGGTGTTAGGATTTATGGACTGAACTCCCAATTTACCAGCTAGTAATTTTCACTCTGTTGTCAGCAACTCTCGAGTGGTAATACCACCCTTGAGCTGAGCAAGAGAGAAGCAACGCCATGCAACGCATCATTTCTACACAGAGCCACCAATTGGGGCGACCGTGGCTCAGGGGGTTGGGAATCGCATCTCTAACCGGAAGGTTGCCGGTTCGATCCCTGGGCTCTCTGTCCTGGTCGTTGTGTCCTTGGGCAAGACACTTTACCCTACTTGCCTACTGGTGTTGGCCAGAGGGGCCGATGGCGCGATATGGCAGCCTCGCTTCTGTCAGTCTGCCCCAGGGCAGCTGTGGCTACAACTGTAGCTTGCCTCCACCAGTGTATGAATGTGAGAGTGAATGAATAGTGGTATTGTAAAGCGCTTTGGGTGCCTTGAAAAGCGCTATATAAATCCAATCCATTATTATTATTATTATTATTGAACGCAAGTTGTTATTACCGTCTACACTTAGACCAATTGCTATAACAGCCCCTGAGTAATCAGCACTGATGTAAGGGAGAGTTAAACTGTCCAACTCGTGTCACAGGAGATTTGAGACTTACTCTCTTGTTGAGGCAGATAACGGGCCATAGGCTGCAGCCTACTGTACAGCAACAACACAGGCAGCCACAAAGAAGCCACTTCACATTCACAGGTAAGTTCTTCTTCAAACAAGCATTCACCCTGCTGATGCTGGTTTTGAATTCCTCTGGTGCTACCTAAAGAAAAAGGGACAGGACACGTAGTGAAATGAACATGGGAACTTCTCAGAAAACAAGGAAGTTGGATAATTCAATTGTTTCTTGGTCATGTTGACTTGAAAAGATTTCTCAATGCATAAGAAACCTGTGCACAAGGATCAAAGAGCTTTAGAAAACCAAACAGGTAGATATTTGCAGATGTTGTCCAGAGATGAGATCTAAATACATTCCCCCAACTTGCTAACCAGGCTTTGGACTGTTCAAGGCAAGGAGGGACTCAAAGGAGAGATAAGCTCAGTGCCTGTGGCAGCGCCGGCCAAACAACTTGAATGGATGCTCATTCCTCTCTGAGCCTGTACGCCATAAAACAGGGGTCGTAATCTTTTATGACAGGATGCAAAGGTCTCTTTGCAAACAGCCAAAGACCATAGAATAAAGCCCAGCAGGGCCTGATCTGCACCCTTCAATCATCATAATTGTGACCTCATCCATCACATGTCACCCTGGGTCACAATACCGAAGGTACTTTTTATTGCCCCACACTTCCCTCGGCCTGCTCTTACCCCTGCAGCCTTTTTGTGTTTCTGCGTCTGACCCAGGAAGCTTTCCTTTCTTGTCTACGGCAGAGTCTTCATTTCATTATTTTATCACCTGGTGCTGGACCCTCCGAAACACTGGGCGCCAACTGAGCACCATAGCCAGCTTACTCATTTACAGAGTTGGACAGCAGCTCCTTTTCTATGCAGTGTGGTACGCTACTTATAATGAATTTCCATCAGATCAAAACCCCTCACGGAAGGCTGAATGGGGAGGACTGGGGAAGTTAGGGCTGTAAAAAGCCCAAAAGAACTAAGGAATCACTGCAGCTTTAATTGCTCAATTCTTCCCACTTGGATTTGAACAGAAAGCAGTCTGCAAGACTGAAGTGCAAGAAAAACTTAAAAAGCAACTGTACCTTTCCCGTGAGAACAGAGGGAAATTCTGTGTCAAATCTGTTGCTCAGTCCAAACCTGAAAAAAACAAAACAAAACAGAGCAGATATGTCAAAAACAAACACTCAATAACAACAAAAATTAATCTAAAGCTAAAATATATTAGCTGCTCCTTATTTAACACTATTTACCTATTTTAATTATAACTTTATGACAGAAAAAAGGACAACATTAAACTAAAAATGTCAGCAAAGACTGTTTCCTATTTCTGTATGGTGTATAGGCCCACTGTAGAGAGATCATGCTGCACTCACATGGGTTAAAGACAGTCTTGACTTTTGTGTCAGTGTCTCTTGACAGGCTTAAGCAAAAGCATAAATTTTATCTACTGTTTTTAAAACAGTAGATAAAATGCACTTATATGTCACCATGTACACATGTTGACCAACACTGCAGAACTGGGTAATAAGATGGCCTTCATCAATGGTGGGTATTTTTTATATCGATCTGCTGTTTCAGTTCTTCAGTGGATAAAGTAACCCTTGTTAAGACAAGGATTTCATTAATTCTCTCCCTGGCTCAAAAAGATGGAATATCTGAATCAGATTGTCACCACTGGAATCAGCCAAACTGCTATTTTAAACATTAATAATTGAGAATCAGTGCAGCTTCACTTGGAGGTTACTTTATTTCTTGATGTAAAGAAGGATGAAAGAGCCACATCCATGGGATTCTGCATGATTGCTAGTCCATTGATTAAATAACTGTCAGCAAGTCCTTGTATTTACTTGATATTTGGCATGCAATCAGAACTTATCCCTAAAAATCTGATAACAGCCTTATCAGTACCCGAGGATGACTACTTGAGTCTGAAAAAGTTCTGCAGAATAAAATCAGCAGGGTGCAGCAATCCTCTAGCAGCAACAGCACCCTTCCAAACAGCTGATTATGTTTTCAAATTTGGGCTTTTTTCTGTCGTAGTTATTCTTAATAGCATCCACGTGTCAAGTTGAAGAAAGCTTCCAGCTTGGCCTCGGCATCAGCTCCTAAGGTGAAGGATGAAGATGAAGGGTGGATCTGATAGCGATGACAGTGACAAACATCATCTTATTAAGTCCCTCTGAAGGTTGGACGTGCCTCGGGCTCTATCCCCCATTAATCAACATGATAAAGTGCAAAGGTCTCCATCATATATAGGCAGTTAAGGGACAAACAATTATGAAAACTACAGTAACCATTGCGAATTAGCCCACGACAGGTAATGTAATGCGAGTCAAAACACAAGGATGAGGACTTGTAGCTAAAAGAGCATCTCACGTAAACTTGACCAACGTTAACAACGGCTGCGCCTGCCAAGTTTTAGGTTGCCATGCTGACATAAAGTCGTTAACGTGGGTTTACGGGGAAACAGCTAACCCTCGACCAAACATATGGCTAACTGTTTTGATTTCCGTTAGCTCGCAGGCTAGCCTCAGCTAAACAGGCGATACCGGAAACAGAAAGAAAGCACAAACGTGGCTCCACTTACACCGTGATGTGCCCGGCCCCTCGCATAACCACGGGCTCCGGACAGTATCTGGGCAAGTGCTCCTCGCTCACTACGTGCTCATCCTCTTCGTCTTCTAACTCATAAATGGTATCAAAGTCCGCCATGTTGGGTAGTAAGACGCTCATGACGTCTACGGCGGGGCCACGCACGAGGCCACGCGCGCGAGAGAGCCACACAGTGTGCATAGAGGAGAAGAAACCATCGCCCAGCTGAGTCCTGAAGGACCAGGCCTGGTATTAGACCGGAAAAATACATGTATTTAATAATCCACGGTAATATTTGTGTATGTGCAGGTGTGTGCATGAGTGTATACAAGGAGGATGGGGATTATTGTTATTACTCTTATTATTAGCTGTTAATTTTTGTCCCATCCCCAATTTGATCATTAATGAAGTATAGATAATTCACATATCCCCAATATTCCCCAGTTCTATTTTTTTTTTCTTTCCCCCCACTTGCTCTTGTTCTTGTATGTATTCTGTGCCTTGGCCCGTCTCGAAATGTATTTTTCCAATGGGAGAATATGTCAGAATAAAAGTTTCATATTCGGGGATAATCAATGAACTTCCTCATTTCAGACATATGCAGAGGGTCAAAGTCAGGAACACCCCGTAATAAGCCACATGTCAGCTACAGAGGCTTGAACTACTCACTTTAAATGACAATAACCTGCTTTGCTGACCTTTTCCAGACAAATGAAACTGCACCCTAACATAGGCTTAAATCTACAATGTGAACCGGTCCAAATGGATCAGGAAATTAAAAATCCCATTTAACTCTTTTGTATCTGATGCTTTTGTATACATTTACATGTATTCTTTTAGCCACATACTGAAAGGCCAAGCTTTGCATGTAGGCCACTCAAACTCTTTGTTTATTGCAAGGCTACCGACTCTTTTCATGTTTACACTTGTCAAATCTTTTAAAATTCCAAATTAAAAGTAGATGCATTGAAATAACGCAAAATTATGCATCAAAGGGGGAAAAAGCCTCACGGATGATGTCCCTGGCTTTTTAGAACTTCTTGCAGTTAAATTTTAAATAAAAGGCCATGCTGAGATGATAATTCCCTGGTTGATATACCAGTGAACAGGCCTGGTTAGGTTTTTATTCTGTGAATCCCAGATGCACAACAATTCAGAAATAAAGAAATTGACAGATCTACTGCAAAACACCTTTTATTTACATTTTCAAAGTTGCCATTAGACGACCTCTCTACCCGTACCATCTGTTTGATTGATTCACAAAACTGTGCTTGAAAGCGTAAACGATTTGTCCAGTTAGATTTAGCTTCACGAGGTCCAGTGTAATACTTCAATGGCATGTCCCTGATTTCTCACGTTATCCACAAACACATGCACGTCATACCAAATACAAAAAAAGATAAGCTATTTATATCTTATTAACTCACAAACGTTTTAAAACAGTTTAAAAATACTTCGATTTTCTCCCCCCCATTTCGTTAAAACTATTCTATAAAAACTAATATTTGAAGAGCCTCCAGCGTTTCCTTGCTTTAAAGCAGCTGTTTATCCGCAGCTTTGTGCTTCAGGACTTGGGTTCAGATCCTCTGGCTTCCTGTCAAGTGTCCTGTGAGTGCCCACTTATGTGTGATCGTCCTCAGGGCGAGCTGTTCTACTGAGTCACAGTCACTTGCTGTATATTCCTGATAGAGGGCAAGGTGTTCATTCCCTGAGGAGGGTACATAGAGCCGTGGATGTCCGTGGGACTGAGAGACCCCGGAACCGGCAGAGGGCTGACTGAACCCGGGTCACTGTGCACAGACCCGCTGCTGCCGTCGGACTGACCCATCTTTTTCTTGATCAACTTTCTCTCTTTAGCTCTGCGGTTCTGAAACCATATTTTCACCTGAGGAGACGCAAAAAGAAAGAAAGAAAAAATTATTTGATGAATATTTTCCTGTTCATATAATTTGATAATTAACATACAAAGCAAATAACGTGTACATCAACAGGTCCACAAAATAGGCCTGAAAAGCAAGTATATATAACCCAATTGCTTTTTCATTTTATTCTCTATTTTATAAAATTAAATGAAATAAAAACACCCAATTAGAAACCTTTTCCCCGAGTCTGAGCGTTCCCTATTTTTTCTCTATTTTGTCCACTGGCATAATGAAAAATAAAATAAAATAAAATCCAGGTCTGTAAAAATAGGCCTTGAAAGGAAATAAATAACAAATAATTTGTTGTTGCATTTCTCGTATTTTTTATTTATTTATCTTTTTAGTAAGGCATTACTCTGACATTTTTTATTCTCTGAATTATTTATTGTCATACAAAATTAACAAAATTTCATTAAAATGTTGAATATTTACTAAATTAAGCATTTAATAAAATAATTTCAAACAGAAATGTGAAAATGTATAATACAAAGCGTAATTAAATCACCGAAATAACTACAAATAATTTATGTTTCCAATCATAAATTATTTGCAGACCCTCCCTGTCCAATAATGAATTTATGCGGCTGTAATATAAATACAGGCACAATTTATTGCCTGACAATACTGACCTACTTTTGTGGTTAGAAGCACATGTAAACATACAGCTTATTTTACGTATTTATATATTTTATGCCATGTGATAATTCTTTCATATAGAAATTACTATATAGGTATATTTATATGATATTAATTGTCGTTTCTTTAATCAATAAAAGGACAGAAAATAAAACAGTAATTAATAGAGACCAACCTGTCTTTCCGACAGACCGAGGTTGACAGCCAGCTCAGATTTCCTTCTGATGGTGATGTATCTGTTGAAATGAAACTCCTTCTCCAGCTCCAATCTCTGATGGTCTGTGTACACTACCCTGTACTTCTCCTTCGTCCTTGTCTTACCTGTGAAGGTGAAAAAACAAAATACACATAGTCATGAAGAGGTTGTCTGCCCGTTTTTAGGATCATCTGCTTGTAGCCAAGTGGTTGAACTGGAAGGTTTCCCCCCCGGAGCAGGCTGCATGCCAGGACCGGTCTATCGACGCATAGCATCTTTATAAGCTGCGTCTTCAATACACATGTCTCTGTCTTTTCAACAGATACGCAGTTACAGCTTTTTGATCTTGCTTTGATGACAGCTGTAGTGCGCTGAATTTCAAAGAACGACGAGTCAGTTCCTCCACGAGACACGGGAAAGACATCTGAAGAACCCGTGGGTTCAACTCAGTTCATTCTGCGTAAATATCCAAATTACTGTCTGAATGTGGGTTATTGCTATTTGAAATGGCTTTACACTTTCCCAGGTACAAATGGGTGTGTCATCGGTCTTATGGAGGAGTGAAAAAAAAAAAACAACTAAAGGAAACCAGTAAACTCACCATGAATTCGGCTAAAAGATTTAAACTGATGTCTGGATATTATTTTATTTAAAAAACAAAACACTCCTATATGGCATGGATAAAATAGCTCTACTGTAAACCAAATACATTCAATCTGAAATGCATAAAATCCACATTCTTTTGTGAACGTGTAAGTACTCTGCGTTTGAGATATTAGCTGTGAAAAACGTCACTCTTTTCCGGCAATATAACTCTTGGGAAAGGAAGGGAGGTTGGCGCATATCAAAGCGAAGAGGTGCTGAAAGAAAAAGGGACACTGCCTGGATATGACGGATAACACCAAACACTGTAACAGAGAGGCCGACCTTGCATCTCCTGCAGTAATGACATTTACATCACAACTGGGCCTGGCGCCGATTCCTTGCACCTTTTAAAATTTCTTCCATGGGAATAGAGCAGCCAGAGCTGCTGGGCTCAGGTCTGGGATTAGAATGTCAGGCCCATCCTAACATCATGTATATCAAAGTTAAGACATGGAAACGGTTTGTGGATACATTTGATGCCATTGGTAATTAACAGAGTTTCCACAGAAGCCAAATAAATTATGACCTTATAAGTAGCCTATTTAAGATTTAATGAGGTTTTATATTCATAACAGTTTAAATTTAAGCAACCTGCAAAATGCACTGTCACAGGACCGGAGTTTCCTTCTGCTCGTTCAACTTCTTTTCAGTGGTTTTTTCAATTTTCCGGTTGTACCCTTTCCATCAGTGTGGAGTTTGGTGTGTTTCGATGGAACTTGTTTGATTTTACACATTATTTTAAATGACATGACCTGTGCGTAAATGGACGCAGAAACTAAGCCGCGCAAAAAACTAATTTCTGCTGCACAACCAGCTTCTCTATTCCTTAAATACACAGAACAGCATTTTGGCACAATGGTCTCACCTGTAGACGACGATTGCGCAGTTTTGCTCATCCATTGGTATGAATTACGCCTTTCCCTGCCAGGAGAAAGTTGTGCAACATTAACGTTGTCCGGTGGCGGTTGTAATACCGCAGATCCCGGAGGATGCATATGTGCGTACTCGTTTGAACAGTAAGGAACCTGTCCAGGAGATGAGTTATTCATGGGCGTAGGAATAGTATTAGGGGGTCCCAAACTATAAGCACCCCAGTCCTCTCGAGGGGCGCTATATGAAGGCCCCCAGCTCCCCGTAGACTGTGGGTGCGTATCCATGTTTGGCACATGATGGTATCCAGTAAAGTCGGGGTACTGTGGTGTTGAAACAAAATTCTGTGGAGGCAGATTGATGCTTGATCTTCTTACAGGCCCTTGGTGATACATGCCGCTTTCTTTATCCAGTAGGTATCCAACATACATGATTTGGTGAAAAACCTTTAATATATCAAAACAGCTGAGGGGTTATGTTGCCTATTTTAAGGCGACATTGTCTCCCTGTAGCTGTTTAAAAAGCAATCCTTGTGGTTTATAGTCCAAATCGGTTCCCAGAGAGAAATGCAAAGTAGTTCCAGCCTGTCTCCAGCCTCACATGCTGTGGCTCTGTTGACAAGAGACCAAAGGTACACTAAGGCCTGCCTGACATCAGCCAACTCCTCAACTCTTGTAGATTTGCATCCAAATGAGAGCGAGCTGTCCCCTTGCGCCTGTCCTGTAGCGCGTCATCACAGGACAGTGGGCCTATCCTGGACATGAGTTCCTCACACCGTGAATAAATTAGCACCAGGGCCTATCAGCTGCACATGCTGCAATAAACCGAGGCAACACGTTCACAAATGCATTAATTCAAAAGGCCTATGCGTAATTGCGCACATTTCTCACATTTGTTGCAAGAATTAATTTTCTATTGGCAACTGAGCAATTGCCTACATTAAAATGCAGTAACGATGCCAACATTTCTAGAGTTTCATCTTATAATTACGCAACGTTTAGATCGAATTTAGATTTCAAAGCTGCAGGGATTCAGCAGTTTCCAACCACGCTTCACACGTAAACCCCGAATTATTTGTCAAGATATTCACTTGCAAACGAGGTGCAAAGTATGAGACTTTAATTCTTTAAGCAAGTAGTATTCCGTGTTCACACCTCAAGGTCGCACTTCACAGCTAATTCCGGTTACAAGGAAACTCCTGCAACCCCCTCCATGACAAACAGCGGCCTGCGACACATGAGTCAACGCTGTCCCCTCAAACTGCTCTGCATACATTTTTCTGTAAGTTTGCTTAATGTTAGTGTGTCAATGAATCGATTAAAAAAAGCCCATTTGTATAACTCAGATCTCTATAAAATCCCATATCATAGATTAATGGACAGGAAATAGTAACAAATGTAGCAAAGTGGACGCGGGTTTATGGAGGCAAGCAGCAGTTCAGACGTGACGTGTGCACACACACGTCTGAACTGCTGCTTGCCTTCTGTTGCCTGATTAAATTCGTCGCTCAGGAATTTAATCAGCGCAGAAACATAACTGGGGGTGAAAATCTCATCTGGTTAATGGTGAGAAAATACTACTGAGTGATCGAGTCGTTTCTTGACACTCCACGGCCCAGTCACGCCTGTGATTTGCACACAGTGCAGCGTCCTGGCTGTCAGTCAGCTGGCTCTGCTTCAGGAAATCCTTTAACTCTGCATTTTGGCAGCAAGGGGGGTAGCGTACTGCAGTGTCGTGGCACTTTGAAGTAAGAGAAAGTTTCTTGGCTTTCCCGATCCATGACATTACAAATGACTAAAAATCAATATGTGCTTTTCTAATGCGTATTACTTAGTGGGATTCAGGTAAAGCACTCAAATAATAAAGGTGTACACAGTGACAACCACTTTTGATTTTTCTGTAAGGAAAAAGAAACTGCTGGAAGCAGACAGGAACAGCCATTAAAAAAATACAGATAAGAATCTATCTGCTAGTTGTTCACTACGTGTTTTATTACACTCATACAAAACTACCATAAACCCGCGTCCACTTTGCTACATCACTGCACTGTTTGCTCTGGAATCACTGGTCTGTCCTTCAGTTTCGGCCTTTCTGGATTATAATCAGACCAAATGACGCCCTCTTGTTGATTTCCACAGAACTACTGCTGTTGCTGTAACTTGATTGATTTTCAGTTTGACAACCTCAAGAGGGCAGCCTCCGCCAATAAAACCATCAACCCAGCCATTCTCTTCCTCTCATCCTTCCAATAAAACCAACTGATCCACACATTTTTAGAAATCTGCTATTAATAAATATAAGCTTTGCGATAATTTCTAGTTTATTTTCAATATTGCTTATGAAGTTCAGCATGTGCCTCCATGTCTAAATATGAAATCAGCTTGATTCTAAGTTTGCAAACTACTTTTATTGATGGAGGAGCTTAAAATCTATTAAAGAGGATGGGTAGCTGAGCTTGCTGTGGATATATCTCGCTATGACTGAAGGTCTTGTCTGCATAATATTAATGCAATGTACAAAGACATGGATAATACATTTGTACAACTGATAATAATACACAGATGGCATCAACAAAGCGTGGGGCACAAACGGCTTCTGTTCTTGTGGAATAATATAAAAGACTTTATTTCTGAAGTTTTGAAGAAAGGATTTCAAATCTCTGTGAAGCTGTCTATCTCAGGTTCAACAACTGAACTTCAACACTCTGACTTTTCTTCCTTTAAAAAAAAGTACTATTTCCTAATTGTTCTCTTTAAATGTCCATCTGACTGGGTTCACACCATTCTGCATCTGATGGTTCTTGCAAATCTGTGAGAAAAGTCCTGCTGTCAAGTAATTACATGTCATTAGGTGACATTTATGAAGTGAACCACTCTGCGGGAACTCTAGTTTGACTTATCTTAAGGAAATCTGCTCATTTATCATCATGGCTGCTGTCACATGGTGTTGGCCCTACAGACTCAGAGCATTATTTCTGGATGACATCATCAACACAGTTCACTCTCAGCACATCAGGAACAAAACGTGACCTATTTTCTGCCCTTTATTCTCACCCACAACTTTATGTTTCAATCCTTCTGGTATGAGCATTAGTTGGCAAACATTCTGATATTTCAGTATCGTTACTGAAACACCACTTCACCACAGAACTTCTATCATAAAGCCCTTAAATGACTTTTGTACTTATAGTTCTTTGTAAATTACAGTGCTGATGATCAAAATCTCAGCTCAGGTTCATTTTGATTCTGTGTTTGCATTCAAATGTTTGTTGCCTCTGAGTGCGACACGATAAACACCTGCAACTATCTAGTAAAAACACTAGATGGTGCAGTTGAGTTATGCAACGTCTCCAGTCTTAACGCTTCTCTTGCATGTGCACAATGAAAACTCACAGGTAAATGTCTATCACTAATTTCATTGTGTTTGTGTTATGTATTACGCCTCACAGCGCTCTTGTTTACTCTCATTGCTGTTGTAATTGGCATTGTTTTATGCTTGCCACTTGTTCCTGTACTAATAATCATTAAATAAATAGAATAGAATATACAGCAAAAGGCAGTAAAAGCTTTTATACAGCATTGACAAGGTGGCTTAGATAGTTTTCATGATAATTAAAAGACTAATGACAGGGAAAAAATGCAGAAGTGTTAAAAATGAACCCATAATAATTGAATGTTCTCATTGTCTGATGAGTCTTTTGTCTTTTTTTCAGGAATGCACATATTAAATATTTACTCACTGGTTTGATAGAGCTCGATTTGCATATGGCAGTAGAGAGAAGGGAAGCCAGTTTCCTGCTTCGGTTGACCTCAGTCACCAATAAAAATGTGCAATGACTTCAAACTGAGAAACAAAAGTCACATCTCTCTCTTTGAGCTCGGCATAATGTAAATATAGCAGATCAATGGCAGTCAGAGGTGAAGCAGCCCAGGAATTTATTGATGTCTTCAATTTAACACGGCGCATCTCCGCAGGGGATAAAACACAACCACTTGTTACTATTTTGAGAGATGGTTTGTTTTTGTTTTTAAACAAATTAACCAATCCTGAGTCCTTTATAACGCAAAACATCTGGGAAGCACGAAATCATGTTCTGCAGTAAATGTACTCAGGATACGACAGAATGAATGTTGGCAACGTGACGAAAATGTTCTTGCAAGTTGTTTTTGCAACAGTAACAATTAGCCATCCTTTACTTACGCAAGAACACGCAAAATTAAACTCTGAGAATTAGAAGAAGCTACAACATGCATTGCTGGATTCCTGATAATACATAAATACATTAGTTTGTGTCATATAATCCATTACAGTACGACAAAACAGTATATTTCACATCTAAAATGTTTTTATGTGAATAAGAAATAACTGTCGCTTTTGTATTTGAGCTAACATATTCATTAAGTCTCTACCAATTTGTTGTTTTAGTAGAAGCTGTTAGTCCTAAGTAATAGTTGTTCATCTCTTCCCATAATGATCTTTGAGACTGGAACTGTAAAAGAGCAGGATTATTCAATATTCAGTACCAAAGATACCACAGTACCCACAGAACTCCACAAAACATTTCAAATTAAGTGATTTGCTAAATATAGTACCTGTTTTTTATGTGTAGATCTAACTGTACTAAATCAATTCAAAGAGTCGCCTCAAGGCGCTTTATATTGTAAGGTAGATCTTACAATAATACATACAGAGAAAAACCCATCGATCATATGATCCCTTATGATTTAGCACTTTGGCAACAGTGGGAAGGAAAAACTCCCTTTTTACCGGAAGAAACCTCTGTGCTACTGTATGGCTAACAACCTTTGTCACATTATCTAGGATTTCGACTCACTAGGTGATCACTTGATGTTAAAGAAGAAATATTAGGACCTTTTATTGAGAAAGATGGTGTTTGCACCTGCTGCCACCACTGGGACTGCTGGGAAATATGTGTCATGTGGAAACATTTTCAAGAACTTCAGGAAATTAACAAACAAAAAAAAAAGGACTAGAAAAGAAGACGAAAAAAATACATTTGTGTCGGGTTGAGTAATTCATGTGTTCTGCATTACTAAAAACATTTGGAAATCAAGTAAAAATAGTTAAATAGTTGAAAAACACATTTCTAGGAAAACATCAGAAAGCTTGAAAGTTTAAATTTGAATGTGACAGGCTGGCATCCTGGCAGTGGAGAAAAGAAAAAAAGAGAAAAAAAATGCACAATGTTTGCTTTATTGGCAGCATGTGTTCCCCTTCAGTCATTCTGCTCACTGATTGGAAACAGAAAACAGATCTAAATCAGATAGGACCGGGATTCTGAGCATCTCATGCTTCTGTGTAACTCAGTGCAAACAAGAGGCGTGCAGAGCTTATGTCTTGTTCTGAGTTCACCAGTGCATCAGCTTGTTCCTTGAGCCTTCCACCCTCGGAGTGAAGCGCACTTGCCCCC